TCTTACCACTTCGGAAGCGGATATCCACCCTTAGGGTGCAGGAAATCATTTATCAAGGTTATCTTGATTACCTACGCATCGGGTTACACAAAACTATATTGATAACTCTTTTAGGTGCGCCATAGTTTTTTTTTAAGCATTATTTTACTCGCGACTTAAACATTGGTGCCCTACCCCAATTTTTATAAAGGTATGACTTTCAGAGTATTATAAAAAGATTTTTGCTCACCTACTTTCATTAAATAATAAAAAGTGCTATAAATAATACGTTGGAGTTCTTTTGTGATAAATCACGTGTTCATGTACGTGGAATATTATTCCAGCCCCGTTATATCTCGGTTGTTGCTTTAACCTTAATAATATTATCTGGGGTAGTAAATTCATTCAGTTCTACTCCTAACTCTTCCAAATCGTTTTGCGTGCTGTGGTCTAACCCTGTTTTATGCAGTAAAAAATTTTACAACTCGGTCCTTACCTATGTCCTTTTCATAACTTTTTTTATATATTCTTTATTTTCAGGTCTGAATGACTCTTTCCGTCATTCCTTCCGCTTGCAGTAGTGGGTAGTTATTAAATATACAGTTATTACATCCCTCTGAAAATTTTGTTAAAATTTTACTCATGAACTTCGCTTCTTTCGGTCCGTTATTATATTTGACAGATACATATATCGCATTCTTGCGTTACTTTGTCGATGAGGTCAGGTTTCGCGCGTGCCTCTAATATCTTCATTAACGTTTTAGAACCCACATAAAAAAGTTTTTCTATGAATTTATAATGCCATATAAATTCAGCTTACTTAAAGTATATAATTTTTCTATATTAAAATGCAACGGACTTGCTTTCGTATTTAATTTATCAGTGTAACCATTTACTAACCTTAATTAAACATCTGCAAGTACATTGTCATCATCCGGTATGTATCTGAACTGAGTTTCATTACTTTTTGTACCCTACGTACACACTTCCTTCTAATAGTTTTGAAATTAGACTCAAATAAATAATTCTAGAAGACCTTTGAGTCGATTTTATAATAAGCCTGATTATTAAGTTTTCATTGTCTTTTGCAGTACTTTATTTTTCTTTCAAGATAATCGCTTCATCTTCTTGATCAATTTAAGAGTATCTGCATCGTTTTCTTTTCTTTACACATACTGCGTATAATATTCACACAAATATGATTAAAAAAGGTTAAAACAGCCAGTAAAGATAAACCGTTAATCCCGAAGGAACGGAGTAAATTTAACAAGATTTTACTATAAAAAGTAATTTATAAGTAAATTTAATTAAAAAAAAACAATGAATTTGATTAATTGTGACACTAATTTATATTGTTTTTTCGACTCCCTTTTTTTAATATAAATGCCAGGGTGCTCCAACAATAATATCAGGGGCAATCATGATACTCTTTCTGGATACATACGGGCGCTTACTAGCCCCCAAACAAGAGTTGCTGGAGTTGTTGCTAAGTGAAAAAATTGATGCACAATCGACGAGACGCACCACCCCCCAAACCTGTGCGACTATGTAGCCTATCGCCAAGGCCATCTCGATGCATACGGAGGCGTAACTGTCTTGGTTTAGCAAAGCATTCAATATCATCCAATATCTTTTTAACAGCTCTGCAGAGAGTCGAGGCAATGTCTCTCTCTGCATGATCTACAGGAGGCTCATTTCAAAATATAAACAATTGTAGGGGTGATAAAATCGAGGTCAGCTCGGAGTGCCAACGGCGTTCCATGTGAGAAGCAAAAACTACAGAAACTTATTGCCCTAATGTCCTAGACATAATTCTCAACTCCGAAACACATCTGAGGGGAGGTAATCAATTTAGAGTACCTAACTATTTTGTTTACAGGTGCGCCAGGAAAGACACTGGAGGAGGGGACGAAGCTGTTCCAGTCAAAAGAAATATTATTTACCATGCGCTCTACTTTTTCGACCTGGTAAGTTTAGAAGCTATGAGCGTGTATATAGAGCTCTGTCAGAAAGGAAAAGTCGAGATAATTGCTGCTTATAAACCACCTTATAAGGTTATGCATAAAGTTGAGGTTAAGATTTTTGCGGATTCCTCCAGCATCTTTATGCTGAAGATTTAAACTGTGGAAGCCCTATGTGGAATAGCAGGTGGGAGAACGCCAATAGGAAAGAGGTTTGCCAAAATAGCCAACAGAAAAGGTTTAATTGTTATTAGTCCAAAGGGCCCAATTCACTGCCCAGTCAAAGGGGCCTGTGTCGTTTTAGATATCACCATATCACAAAATATTTTACTTACCTGCCACCGTCAATAGGTTATTTGAACTCTCTTCTGATCATAACCCCACTCACAATAGAGGTAGGAGATAAGCTCGACCTCGAGTACTCGGGTTAAAAAGATAACTGGTTAGCCAACTATTTGGGATCACTTAGAAATAAGCATAGATGCCATGGCGCACACCTTTGAGAAAGCCCCTGATTTAGACACGGCGCTGGTGCAGACGGAAAGAGCTATTAAGGAGGCCTTCATTTAAAGAACGCAAAAACCAGTAATATGACCTTCCTATATGAACCCTTGTTTTCCAGGCGATAAAAAACAATAAACTTTACAACAAGATTAACACTCGAGTTAAAGTGGAATTAAAAGCTTGGTTTAACGAAGGCGGTCAGATTAAAATTAGGGTCTTCTGCGTTATTGAATAATCCTCTATGGAAATTAAAATGTGCCATTCGGTCTACTGAGACTAGGGATATAACAAGTTCATCCATGACGCTGGATGCTCAGCGGTGACCCTCTCCGAAATAGTAAAGGCATTTGCCGATTCAGTGGACACCCACTCAACTATAATATAGTCCGAGAATAATGAACTCCATTCCAAGCGCGTGTTCACCACAGTTACTGCTTACCTTTTAAGACCACGTATGTAACAAAGTTATGCTTACCACCAGTGAGGAACATATAACTATTATCCAACCCTTTAATAGTCAGAAAGCCTCGGGTCCCAACGAGATTTCTAATTTAATGCTTAAAACTTAACTCCGGGAACTATTTCTCTGATTTCGAAATTAATTAATTAAAAAATACTTACCACTGCCTACTTTCTTAAACGGTGGAAAATCAGCAGAAGTAATTTTTATACCTAAAACTAGGCCCTCTCGCTGTTTTATTAAAGATTGTCGCCCAATAAACTTGTTGCCCTTCCTAGGAAAAGTGGCACAAGCGGTTATCCTTTATAAGCTACAAGAATTTATGGATAGTATGTTCGTCATCTAACTTACAATTTGGTTTTCGAAAAAATCTCCACAGTTCACTAGATACACAGGCTTACGGGAAAAGCTACGAAAGCTTTTAACAATAGGGAAGTAACAAGTGGTCTTTTTAGATATTGAGAAGGCTTTTGATAAATGAGGCGAGATGGGTCTTGTCATCAAAATGATTACAGTTAGAATGATTATCGCCAGCTTCCTTTTTTACTTAACTGCGGTAGTACTTCATATTTATCAGATAGAACCTTTACTGCTAGATTAAGTTCGTTGAATTCCGCTATTAGAAAATTAAAAATGGGTATCCCATAAGGCTTCTTACTATTCCATTTACTTTTTTCTGTCTACATATCCGATATATACCACAATCGTCAAAAAATAAACTTAGCTCAGTACGCTGATGACATAGTCTCATTTTATAGTTCCGGATCTGCCTGACTGGTGTTTAAAAACATACAGTCTTATTTGACAGTACTTGAGGCATGTTTTTCAACATAGAGGTTATAAATTAACACGGCAAAAAGTAGCTTTATGATTATAACAAGAAGGGGGCTACTTCTTCCGATCCTTCCTCTCTCATTAAAGTAAACTGACATCCCTTGAAGAAAGAAGATTAACTACCTCGGAGTTATACATGACGACAAACTAAACTGGACTCCGCATCTTTCTTACTTCGTTTCTAAAACAGACAAGCTATAGCCGTTCTGTGCCCTTACTATGCAGGAAAAGCAAACTGTATTTATAAACAAGCTCCTGTTATTCAAATCGGTTATTCGCCCCGCTAATGATTTATGTCTTTATTGTCTAGGCCTACTCCTCAAGCAAACATATACACATCGACTACAATACCACAGAATCGCATTTTGAGAATGGTGGTGGTCGGCACTTGGTTTGTGCGCAACTGCCAAATACATAGAGAATGTAACGAACCTATTTAAAAACATCTATAAAATTTCCAGGAATTGGCTTACTAGCCAATGGTAACCACAACATACTTATTAGGCGGGCACTTGACAATGACTCTCTCGTTGGTACACCAAGTATCCGCGGTCAAACATTTCCTAGATCTATTAGAGGGGGAATATGACTAATTTTAGTTTATCTTCTTAACCTATTAATATATATATATATTTTTTTCTGATAAAATAATGTTATTAAAACTTAACTATTTTATTATATGTAAGATCGTTATTACTTTGCTATTAGGTCTTTATTAGTGTATACTGCTTAGCTAAAGCGAATCCGTTCTTCTTGTTGATGGCCCAATGGATCGGGAAGGAAGGTGTGGTTATAAATCACGCCTGTAGCAAGCCAGTGCTATAAATAAATAAAAACAAAAAATTAAGAGTGGCATAAAAAATAATGTAAATTGTTACGCTCATGCTTTAAATATATTTTATATTTACTTGTTTAAATTCGGCACTTGATGATTAAAAACTTACCTGATAGATTATTATCTGTAATAGCCACTATAGGAACCTAAAGTTTTGAAAAATTTTTAGGTGGCGTGGTAGGGTTTTTTTTTGAGCAGGTTATAGTCCCGAGTTGGTCGAATGCCCCTCCTAAAAGCTTTCTTGCCTATAGCAGGGTGCCCCTCCCCGTTATTTACTAGTACAAAAATTGTAAATGACTTATTTAAAATATTGCTTGTTGTATAGGTTTTACACCTAGAGGCCTACTAATTTATGTTTCTGCAGTTTAATAAAAGTAATAATTCATTGTTAAATCTAAAGTATAGAAAGTTAGGAAGGCTTAACGAAGGAGAATTTGGCATTATATATAAAGTAATTTTTTGTGATTTCTCTCTTACACTATTATTTATTTCTTTTAATTACTAATTATATATTTTTTAGGCAGTAAATGTTTTAAACAATAAAATATATGCCCTAAAAAAGCTTAAAAAAAAGAATAAAAAATCTCTGGCGGGTGTTGAAATTCATGTCTTGAGAGAAATAAAGTATACTTCTGAATTTCAACATCCTAATCTTATACAAGTCCACTTCTTGACCTTTTTAAAAGTTTAGTTTAAATAAAAGTATTTATTTGACTCAGCGATCGGACTGCTTCTTGCACCATAAAACTGTTTGCCTCGTTTTTGAGTTCTTTGACACAGACTTGGGAAAAATACTTCAAACTGTTGGAGGCCTATGCCAGTTTTCTGCTGAGTTAATTTTTTACCTCACTAAAAGCATATTGTTGGGCTTAGAGTATATGCACACCCGAGGGGTTATTCATCGGGTATTATACCACTTCTTTTGTTACAGCTTTCTCTTATAATGAGTGTTATAACTGTTGTACTAGTCCTTTGCACATAACCTTGTTTATAAATAGGACATCAAGCCCAATAACATACTTCTCAACGAAATAGGAGAGGTTAAGATCTGTGATTTTGGCATGTCAAGAATCTGTGACGAAAATGCTGGCGACATGACGTGCCAAGTGGTCTCACGGTATTCCAACACTTATCTTCCAGAGTTATTATTTGCTTAATTTTATCTCTTATTGGGTAGTTGTTATAGATCTCCCGAGCTTTTGTGTGGAATAAAGCATTATGGCTGCGAAATAGATATATGGGCTTTTGGCTGCCTTTTCGCAGAGGTATTAGAAACTAGCCCGGCTAAATATATATCGTCCAATTTACTTAAATATAGATTTTACTAGGAAAGCCCTTATTCAAAGGGGATTCTGACATAAACCAACTTTCAGAAATTTTTAGTATCACCGGCCCCCCATCTGAAGATCAGTGACCGGTTATTAAAAAAGACTTCTAGAAAGTTTTTAACTACAGCTTACCTTTGCTTTTATTTTAAAAGGACTTGAGTGGTTTGCTTGACTTAAAAGTTGTACGTGAAGTTTCTTTAACCAGACTTTCCGATGTTTTTCGGTTTTACTTTCTTATCTGTCAACAAAGCTTTTGAGCGACTGTTTTTTTCTTTTCTCTTCGATCATAGTCAATGTGTCAAGGATTATAAAATGTTGATGGTGATGGAGGGTTGCTTTGACCTTAACCCTCAGAGACGCCCTACCTCTTCCAGGGTATAATGTCTATCCTAAAAATGGTTTTTAATGCGATGCTCATTTCTTTAGCTTTAGCTCCTGCAGTATTGCTATTTTAAAGGCTTTTCAGAAACCTTAAAAGCTTCAAGGAGCGCTGTACTTTCACCTATTGAGCAGCAAATTCTTAACTACAAAAATTGGGAGCAGCAGAAACTTGCTTATCGTTTAGAACTTTCGGATCTTGTACGCCGTGCTCTTTCTACTCAACCCGAAAAAGTTGTTAACGCGAGTACTAAAGTTTTATTTATTTTAGAAGACGTTTAGGTAATAATTTTAAATATTTTTAACAGTTGAGTTGGGGAGAGGCGGAGTCTCAAAGCGTCTACGCTTTGATTAATAGTCTTATTTATGCCGCTAAGTTACCCTTCTATATCTTTTTTGTTTAAAATCTTTAATAAATCTCGCCATCTTTTTGTAAGGACTGCAGCTATGCTCTAAATTGTTAAACATGTCCTCTTCCTTCTATAATTTTGTTTTCTCGTGTTAAACTCTTTAGGAGGCTTTTACTAGCGTTTTCCTCCCTTTTACCCCTTTCAAGTTATTCGTAATTGTACGCAACCACCTTAACAAGTATTAGTTATAAATTCCTTTTTCCCTTTATTATCTTTCCATCTTTTTTAGTATGGTAAAAGTTCTCATACAAATTACATGGACAAGTCACCTTTTTTTTTTTAATTATTGTATTACTTGGTAAGGAGTTTAACTCAAGAAATAACTAATACTTAACTTCTGCACCTGCATAATAACTCTGGCACTATAAGGGACGAACTTACTTATAAAGCGTGGAGCTAATGCAGCCTGTAAGTGTAACCTATAAAATGGTTATACTTGATACTAATAAAAAAAAGTATTATTTACTTTCGTTTTGTTATGTGGTATATTTGTATACAGTCTTTAATAAGAAATATTGTGAACTAAACTCCATAAGCTTAGGTTGCGCCTTATACAATAATTATCTAAAAACCTAAAGTTTAATTATAAGTAAAATTTTTTATTCATATATTATACAGTTTAAAAAGATTTATTCCTTAAAGAAATAAATTTTTATATATAACTAAAAAAGCTTTGGAAAAAGAGTAAATTGTTAAAAAATATTTACTATTACATAGACTTCCCCAGTTTTGTGGGGTACTTGTTATAGGGAACCGCTTATTAAAAATATATTCAAGGTTTTGTAAGCCCATCTTTAAAATCTTTTGGAAAAGTTACCTAAAAAATTTTCCACAGCTCCTATGAGTGCCTAATAACCTACTTTTTATTCCATTTTGAAATAATGATAGTTGGAGGGTACGCAACGTTTAACAAGTAGGAGCAAGCTATGACAAGTTTTTGTAACAATTAATGGCTTTTTTACGGTGAGCCCCAGTGTAGACTTCTTTAAACAAGCCAAAGTCTCCTAAAACTGATATTTTCAATTAATTGCGCTTTACCTTCTGCAACTTTACAATGTGTCGAGTTACTGCAAGCTCCTATCTAAAAATATTGATATTTAAGTTACAACTTTAGAATTGGAGGAGTTTAAACAAACTAAAATCCTTTTAATATTAGCGCAAATGTGGCTACCAATACATAGCAAATTGTCAAGCATTAAGCAGCGAGATGGCCAACGAAGCTGACACCTAACTGTAACGAAACTAACCGGAGAAAAAGTGACTTAATAAAGTAAAACCAGAAGATAAATTATTAATAAAACAAATTAAATTGTTTTAAAAAAAACAACAAACCAGAAGGAGAGAACTAAAAACAAAAAGTGACACACGAACATGAGAATAAAGTCACCGAGAGGAAAGGCTTTATATTATACTTATAACGGAGTTGGGGGCCTAATAAGGCAGCAGATAAGTAAAACGGATTAGGTCGCCCCCTCTCAATGTATAAGATATGAACAGAGCTGCCATATGAGGTGCAATTCTTCACTAAAGTGCTGTTAAGCAAAGGAATACGTTTCAGGAATGACTTTAGAAAAAAATGTATGCTGGGCAAATGATATAAAATAACTTTAACGCTAACCTTTCTTCTGTATTTTATATTTAGGTGGAATTTGCTGTAAACATAAAGTGCCAAAAACAAGTTGACGCTTTAAAAAAAACTCTTAGTGAAATCAGTACCCTTTCTAACAGTTCACTTTAATAAATAATAATTTTCGATCTTTTTGTAGAAATAGAAGATGCTTCTATATCTAAGGAAAACAAGAGTTTGGTGGTAAAGTCTTCTCTGCCCTCTTCTCAAATTTTAGCGAAGATCAAAGGAGCTGGATTCGAGGCAGCAATCAAGTTTTCATTATTAAATCCAAATCGAGACAATTTTAGGAAGTGTAATCCTTTGTCTATAATTTAGGGGTGTTGGTCCAGCTACAGGTTCACTTGTCCAGAATTCTAATAAGCTACAGTATTAGAAACTCAAGTACATATATTAAGGCGAAAACATTAGTGCGGCTGTCTGTGTATTGAACAATGAAAGAATTAAGGGGATCATTCGATTTGTCCAGACTAGCTCTGAGTGTATCATTGAAGGAACCATCGAAGGTGCTTGATAATGCACTCTTGCTTAAATTTCTTACCTTTTAAAATGGCTGTTAACAAGGTCTTTCACCCGGTAAACATGGAATTAATATTCACGAACATGGAGATATCTCAAACAGGTTACATGAGATCTGGGTTATATTCGTAAAAAGTGACTAAACAATTTTTATTCATCAAAGTTGTCAAAACACTGGACAGCATTACAATCCCTTTAACGCTCCACACGGAGGCCCCATGGATCCCCCGAACGAGAGACACGTAGGCGACCTGGGCAATGTCGAAGCAGACAATCATGGGCGCGCGGTATTTGTTGTAGAGGTAATAACTCGATTATCTAAGTAACGAAAATAACTGGATACTGGGCCAGGATGGGATAATATCCGTGGAAGATATAATAGGAAGAGCAGTCGTTATTCACGCACAGGAAGATGATCTAGGACAAGGAAATAACCATCTTTCCAAAAAAACAGGCAATGCAGGAGGTATAACGGTACATCGGGTTTTTATTAATTTTTAAACATATAACTATAAAGAGGCGATTGTATGCGGAATCATCGCTCGCTCATCAGGACTTTTTCAAAATAAAAAGCAAATATGCGCATGCGACGGCACCACGTTGTGGGAGGAGTCATAGTGCTCTGGGCTCAAATATAATTTTATAAGTATCAGGCATTAAAGTAAGCTTCCTCCCTATCTAGTTGAGCTTGCCCCTCATAATCTAAAAACTCACATTCGTCAATGGCCGTATAGTTCATTCCCTAGACAAAGTTATATTTAGCGGTCGCCCACTTTTTGGGCTAAGTTGACGTACTTCAGTTTTCCCAGAGAGAAATTCATCTCTAAAAATACTTTCCAGTCTAGCCCGCTTAGACTTTTTAATCAACTCCTGTGCATCTTTAGAGTTAAATTCCTGTATAATTAAAATAAAAATAAAAATCTATAAGGGTGTGGCAAAAAGCAAGTTGAAGCCTCTAACTCGGACCCACTTTCGCAAGATGAGGGTTCGCTTTCTGGCTTGGTATGAAAAGTTAAGCTCACATTCATAGAATTTACTTATAAACAACTGATGGTTTCCAATAAAAAGGAGCTGAACGAGTCGACGTTCGATTCCTTATTTAACTAAAATTTTATAATTGTAACAGCGTAACAAACAATAGTAAAAGAGAAACTTGCCAGTAAATTTCTTTCGTCAACTGTGAGGTACTGACCCACATACTTTTCATATTTTCTGCTGTCCATTTCTTTCATGTTGTTATCCTGTAGGTAACCTGTATAAGAAACGTATTATGGTTAGCATTTCACCTTAATTTACAAATATCCCTTCTTTTTCAAGTTTCTGAAAATAAGTAAACCGTCTATTTTTAATCTTTTGCGACATTTCGTTTTTAGAAAGTGTTTTTCGTGAACATAACTGTTTAAATAAGAACACAACAAATTCATCTTTTTCGTAGCAACTGTCATCTGATTACATAAAAAGTTAAACAGGTACGCACTAACTTAAATATACAAAAAAACATGTATTCCACAACTGTTCAATTTCATTCCGAGTCAATGAGGATCCGTGCCTTTCTACTAGACAATGTAAACGACAGACTTTAAACGTATATATGGAAAAGAGTACCTAAAAAAGAAGCAGGTTTACCCTCAAAGAGCTGTTTATAAAATTACGGTTAGTCAAAGTGAAATCAAATAAGTCAAAATATATATAGAACACATAAATTATTTAAACAGAACGTGAAAATCAAGATTAAAGCAAAAAAGCTGTGTTTTTTTTAAGTTAATATTGCTGCTTCTTCTCTTAAAAAGTCAAATTGAAAATTACACTTTAGAAAGAGATGATAAAAAAAAACCTTTACAAGATCGGATGATTTTTCCTCCAACGATAAGTCTGCATCTTCAAGTTGTTGGTGCCTCGTCACCGTGTCTGGATTACGAGTTAAAAGTTCCTTACATATTGACTCTATAAGCTTGTCCTGGGAGACTCCCATATTAAAAACCACCTCGAGGTTACCTAACCGATCCATTTTTGTATCAAGCAATAAGAAATTTTAAACTTGAAACCAATCAACTCACATAAATGACTAGAAATTGCATGCAATGTATTTTTAATAAATTAGAAATACAAGTTATATTAATGCTTAAACCCGATCATTACATTTGGCGGGCACATCTTCCTTATTTTTACGGCTTGAAATCTTTGCAAACTATATTAGAGTAGGAAGCTCACTAACCCAGCTGAAACCGATCTGCTACCGAAATGACTTCCTTTTTTATATTTGAAGTCTATTTAACTTTAATGTTTATTACCTTATTAATAACCTAAATTTATGATGGCACTAGCAGCTAGTGGCTAAAAGCAGCGTTACTGAAATACCCCACGTAAGGACAAGTACAGAAATTTTATTTGAATTATATTTTAAATCACAATTAGACCTCTTTTAAAAAGGTAGAGTCCAAACCGAAGAGCGGAAAGCAAAGGATATTTTTCTATCTAATTTCAAAACTTGTCCTTCCCTTATCGTTTAATAATATAAGATCGTGCTTTATTTTACAATTCTTATGCGTTATAAGTAAACTATATTAAAAAAAATTACTAACACGCAATAGAAGGTTTAAGGGTTGAATATGCACTAGTTATAATGATAATACATGTTATTTCCTTTTTTTTTTCCATGCCAGAATTTAAATTAACTATAGTTTATAGTAGTTCGACAAAAATATCGTTTCAACTTGTTAGACCTTCCGCCACGCCCTCCTTAAAGGGCAGGCAATCATTTTAATAAGGCCCTCTATTTGTACTGACAAAACCTCACCTTTTTTGCTTTTTAAATATGCAGTAAATTTTCAAGGTGTATTTTCAACTGTCTCATAAACTTTTAAACGGCAATTTGTAAAAAGAAACGTTCATCATATTCACTTAATTAAAAGTTTATTTTACTAGGACAGTTTGTTATGGTCGAACTATGGGGGTGCGTTCATATATGTGCTTTTAAATTTTAAACTAACTTTATGTGCTCCCAATCAAAAAGTTTTTTGGTACTTGCCGGGTCTCCCTGTCTTATATCTTTTAAAAATTATTCGTAAATCGACGTTTTATTAACAAACATCTCATCTAAATGTATTTTAAGCTTTAGGCCTCGAATTTTCAAGATAAGAACGTTCATTTAATAACACCAACGTGTCTGCTATTAATATAAAAAAAAGAGCTGACTTTTAGTGTCTCTTGTCTACCTTCAATCAGACATGTGCTTGAGTATAGTATGCTTTTCTGTTGACACCGGGCTCTAATCTGATATATGGCAATTCAGTTAGTAGGCTTTGAATCTATGGAGAGAAAATGCTTTGCTTAAATTATACCATGGCTAAAATAAATTAAGTCGCAGTCGTAATTATATTCACTTATTTTAAAAGAAGAGCATGAAATAGAAAATTTATATAGCCGAGCAGAATGGAAACTTTGAAGCCGAGAATACACACCTTAGTGCCTTTCGGTATTGTTAACAGTTTTACTATCTTTAAACAGTTATTTATAAATCGGTGGTAAACCAAGAAATTGCAGTATCTTTTCCTTCCCCATAAGTTGCTCTGCTTAAACGCCCGCTTAACTCTACTTTACTGTTATCAAGTAATTAAGCAATCCAAGATAATATTTCGGTTAAGCGAACACCTTTTCAGGCATTCATCGGCTACTTACTTATAATATATAAAAAATAAAGACCATTTCGGATAACGCCAACCATTAAAGTATGGTGCTAAAGTAATATTTATGAGCGTATCTATTAACTACATAAATAGACGTTAATTGTGAGACATGACAATTAGAAAAGGAGAGAAAAACTTCTTAATAGGCGAAGTAAAAAGTACTACTTTTTTCATACATGTTCGATATGAACAGTATACGGCTCATAAAAGCTAGGGGTTTTTAAAATTTATTGTTGCTATACGTTAAACTCACTTTGTTTAGATGCCAAGTCAACTTTTTAACTTGTGACTTTTAGATTTTTATGCAAAGTTTAAAAGAAAAACGTAAGATTTAAATACTTTTATTAACTATCCGGCTTTAGTCATTATACGCCGAAGTAATAATACTTTTAAAATCTGTAGTGTACTTTTAGTAAAATCTAGAGATAATATAAAGTTTAAGGCGCAATAGTTTTTTTAAAATTCACACAATTAAAGTCACACAAGTTAAAAAGTTGGACTTGCTTGCACTAACGAATTGCAAACGGATCAGACAATAAGTTTAAAAACCCTAGCTTTTAAGCCTTATGCAACTAACTGTAGGGAAAACTCTGGAAGCTAAGAAAGGAAAAGTTTTATGTATAAAAGAATACATAAAGCTTCAATATTTTGCACTTTATTAACAGTTTAAACAATAAAATAAACGATTACTTGAAAATAAAAATTTCCAAGTAAATTAAGTAACGCAAAAACGAGTTAAGCGAAACTAAATAAAAATTATAACTGCATAACAAAGTCAACGCTACAATAGAAGGAAGCGAGAAAATAAAGCGTTCTCCGAGGTTAAAGGGTCTTTTAACAAACTCAGAGAAATCATATCTAGGTCAATTAGATAGCATATAAGAACCGAGTAACTTAAAGTGCTTCAATGCAAAAGCGCAGCTTTTATTTTAAGATTAGCAGTGCTCATAGGTATAAGCAGTAAACTACACAACCAAATAGTCGAGCTGGTGAAGCCTTTCCATTTATTAGATTGTATATATTAATTTAATACGCAAAGCAAATTCCCTAACAAAAGTTATAGTTCTTAGAGAATAGCAAACCCTTCATAGGGAAATAAGCTCGGGGGAGTCCCCCTCATGATCCGAGGAAAGGACGGAAAGTGCATGGCTTTTACTTAATGCCTCGATAATAAAAATAAAGGGAATTTTAATATTTATCAAAGTCATTTATAAATATGGCAAGAAGTAAAACCTCGTAAGAAACATTGCTTTCATTCAGTTTTCTAATTTTTGTTAAAGTGTTTCCCATTGAAATTAAGTTCTTCTCTAACTTGGAGTTCAGCTTTGAAAATATTTCCTGAAGTAAATTTATAAAAAATATTAATAAAACAATAACGTGCCTTCAACCATACCCATAAAAAGATTCCACTATTTTAATATATGTTAACATAGCCACGTTTATAATATATTTTCTAGTGTCAATAATGCTAACAGTCTGGATCCATACAATTAATAGAAGAGAAAATAGTTAACCTGCAAATTTTCAAAACTTTCAGCAAAATGCGAATCTTTTTGTTCTGCATTTAAAAAAGGAGTAGAGCTCACGACTTCAATAAAATGGTCATTGTTTTTATTAAATCTACTTATTGATTAAAAAAATAGAAAAATAGTATACTTTTACAGTGTGTTGCTTTATCTATTAGATATATGTTGTGGTTATGGTAACGAGTGAGCGCTATCTACCAAACTTAGGCTTTGTTAATACTACATAGGGGTTTGGTATTATGCAAAGAAAAAACCTACGACAAGCAGTCAGCTTAGGAGCATCCTCAGTGACTATAATAATAATAATAAAGTAATTGTAATTATAATAATAAGTGAAAGAGGACCCGACTCTAGTATGTAGTCTTTGTGCGCGGCGAGTGGATGAAGGGCAGTCGTAGGCGGCTGCGCACCCGTCATGCTTTTATCGTAGTGGTGGAGTAGTCTGTTATACATTCTTGTCCATTTCTAAGTGATGCACGAGTAGCTCATTATACTAAAGTTAGCAAACAATATAAAAATACCTTCTTTTCTTCCGAAGGAAGGGCGCTCCATTCTTCCATACACGAGTCACAAGTATTTTCTTTTAAAGGAATGAAATACAACGAATCTTCCTTGACCTTTAAGAAAGTACGGTTTAAGCTCCTTTGCCGCCACCAAGTAGAGTACAAAAGGAAGCCGGATTCAAAGAGACCGTTGTTTTGAGAATTGTCCTTGAGTTTAGTTGTGAATTCCACGAACATAAAGCAATAAAAATAACAGTACTGAGACCGTGTTGCTGGGTTTTATGCCGTCTTGCATGTGACTTAGAGTACTTAAAAATAAGTGAAAGTAAGAAAAGCAGTTTCAAGGAATTAGAAAAGGCAAGAGACAGCTGCTTGGTCTCCTCGAGAGAATGATTTGCTTCTAATATTCTACTGCTATTGGGTAAAAGTAGTTCTAAAAGAAAGTGAATGACTTACAACGGTATCAACAAAGAGGAGACCTGGCGGTTGAGTATCAGCCATAGAAACGAATGGCGGGCGGCGACCTTAAGAAGTTTATCAAATAGTTACTAAAATAGTATACTATATAGATAAACTAATAAGAGCCTTGAAGTTCCAAAAAAGAAGCGCTCCCTGGTGCTTGCGGACGGCAGTAACTCACTAAAATAAATGAAACAACACAAATATATGAACGGAGCGAGTAAATACTTAAAGAAGAGTTAGCAATAAATGTTTAAAAGAAGATGCGCAAGTGCTCTCTCGGCATTGCCTAAGGCCAGCTGGAAAAGCACACGTGCATTGGCCCCGGTAACGCAGTCTGTGATGGTACACGTAACTTCGCCTCAGGTTGGCGTAAATTAATGATAGAATAAATATTGCGCGTAATGGTACGGTTAACAGGAGACTATCGCGTACGTAATAAAAGTATAATGAAGCATAAAAATGAAAAGTACGATGTAAAAATACCTAGCAAACAAAAAACCTATAATGCATATAATAAGAAAGAATAAAACGAAACGAAGGTAAGATAATATATAACACGAAAAAAAGTATAATAGAAGTGAGGAACAGTATATTAATATAAAGCATAAAAACAAGCAAACAACCAAATAAAAGCAATAATATACAATAGTAGGATAGCGGATTAAGAAAGTAAAAGGGCAATAACAAAATTACGATATATGCAACTGTAATATAAGGAAAATAACCTCGTTGGGGTGGAGTTGCCACCATCGCCGGGATCGTTTCGGGTACTTTTCATAAAAAGTCATTAAACAAGAAATTATAATAAGAAAATTATAAAATAAACAACGGAAAACAGCAGTATTGATTAGTAAATTGTAATCCTGTAAGCATTAACAGTTTTATAATAAACAAGCTTTTAATAGTTTTATCTTTAACATTGTCTAACACCAAATACCGTTTGAAAATCGACAACATACCAATGTATTACAAACTATTATAGCAGAATAGATAGCTCACGCAAAAAGAATATAAACTCTTCACAATTAATATATTAACTTTTATAGTACATGTGATAATAACTTAAAATATTCATACTTTTTTTTGCAGAACTTAAATATTGGTAAAAATCGTTAAAAATCAGATACGGTTCATTAAATATTAATATAACAGATATTATTCACAATAAAGCAAACTTTAGAGAAAAAAATAAAATAGGTGGAAAACATTACATGTAAGTTTATTAACTTATATTGTATTTATAAGAATCGATGACTAAAAAGAAGTTTTAAGGCGATCAAGGTCAACACAAACCCCAAAGCATATGAAAAATTCGCGAAAAAATATTAAGTAACTTTAACTGAATTAAAGATTCGACATGGACTTATGTCAATTTAAAAGTTATGAAATATTATAAAGATGAAATTCAAAGTGTTACTTAAGGTAAACTTGATGCCTACTGGTAGCGAATGCATTACTTACATCTAAACCTATCAAATAAAAATTTTAAAGTATTCCTAAACCACAATACCATGAATGGCAAAATAAACTTTTTGAAGGATATGTACCATAAAGTTGAGAGTAGTAAACCAATTCCAGCGGAAGTTTCCCATGGACCCGTTGATAGTGCGTTTTGAGTAACCCTTAAAATAACTTATTACAACAAAGAATTCCTTATAACTTATATATTATATAGTTCGCATTGTAATTATATATATTAAAAAAAAAAAAGTAGTCAAACAACTGCTACTTTTACACATCAAACTATATATAGCTGTAGTTTAAGTTGACTTCTCATGCATTAATAGGTTATTACAAATAAATTTGAAGTGCCTGCAAGCGCAACAGTAACTTTTTTCATAAATAAATACATACTACAATATTATTAGTAAACAAAACCAATAGTTACGTATAAAAAGCCTATGAAGCAATTAAAGATTCGGTATATTGCCTAACACCTTTGATAATTACACTTTTTACAATTACAGCCCACGTTAAACGTATTTTTGTGTCTTCAGTGAGATTATGTATATCATCAACATCAAATTATAAGCCTGCAATGTTGGTAAAAAAAAACACTTTTGGGATAGGAAAGAAACCAAAATATAAAAATAAAGTTTTTAAACCAATTAAAGGGACTCTACCATGCTGCCAGAGGTGGTAAATTTTAGCTTAAAAAAAAAAGTACATATTTTAAAAAACAGATAACAAACGAAGGTACCACTGATATTTTCTAATTCTCCAAAGCAAAAAAGTATGATTCACCAACTTGTACTTATTTATACATTTACAAGCGAAGAAGAGGGAGACAAAGCTCATACTAGTGCCATTACTAATATGAAGCGTTCTAACTTAATTTACTTTTTTTAAGACATCTTTTTTGTCTCTTACTTTAAAAAATAAAGTAAAATAGAACGTTAACGTATTTGTTGTTGATTTGTTACTTAGCTCAAAGAAAAAGCAATTATTATATATTATAACAGTTAAAAAAACAGCGATACAACTAATAACACCTCGATTATGTTTATAAGATCCTAAATACATATTATTAACCACTCCTTCCCGTGGAATAACCGCCTGCCATACGAATTAACTTAAGTTCCTAAAATATTAATTGTTACCAATATTTAGAAGAACAAAAAATTAATTTCTTACTTCTTTACCGTTCAAACTAACTAACTGAACAAAAGGAGAATTCGGCCACTGAAAACCATCTTGTGGAGGATGACTTAACGCATTATTATGCAAAAATATGAAATGAGTTCCATCTATAAGAACGAAAAAATAACTGTTAAACTAAAGAAAACTAAAGAAAAATTAAAATAGCAATCTTATAAAAAAATTTTTATTGAACCCTTTTTTAACAAATTCTTCTTTTATAAAACAAAAATCTTGTAATGCAGGTTTTATTAATAAATAAAATTCATACGCCCACCTAAAGGTAGAAAAACTTGAGTCCAACTTAATTCAAGAGTATTGTTTAGGATACTCGTTTCTACACTTATTAAAGCTTTACAAGCGTCAACGGGAGAAATGTCAGCAATTCTTCTTGTAAGTGTGTTGTTGGCCTGTTGTTATTAACACGAATTTATACAAAAATAAAGGCTATAGAATTAAAAGAAAAAAAATAATGACCACAAAGTAAAAGCAATGGTTAGCTGAATCAGCAGGAACAGGAGGCGAAGGAATAAACATTTTTAACATTCGCATCAACTTTTTAGGATACGCAAAACAATACTCCTTCCCTTGTTAAAAAATGACTTCGTGCGCCGTCGAAAAGGGCGTTTAGAGGTCAGTCGAACGGCGATACAAGCCTAAAGTAAAGTTAACCCCCATTCTTTATTTTTCTATTTCATTCCATTAAGTTATCAGCGCCTAGCGCCCGCAAGGTCAAGGATCTTCGGTTACGTTTCATACAGATCTTATTTATCTTTTCTTTCAATTTTCGACTATATTTATTATGTATGCATACAAATCTTTTCATTTATTTCTCTTACTTATATATAGGTAACTTTCCCTTAATAGTTTTCTTTTATTTTTTTCATTTTATATTCATTATCGCTAACTTAACCTTTTACTACTCGCTTACATTATATAGAATATTTTTTTAATTATGCAATACCAACTCAGTTTTTTTCAACATACAACATGGAGAGTGAACTAATTCTACGAGATGTTTCACAATTAAGACAGTGCCTAAGAGGCAAAGTTCACGTTAACCACTCAAAAAATCCATGACATATTTTTTTTTAGCGGAAAAATTAGAGAACCTGAACTCCTCTCTTCTGAATATTTTTTTAAAGCGGGTGTAGGAATACAAATCAAAATGAACAGTCTTTACCCTGAGATCAAGACAAGAATTGGAGTTACGAGTGCCTGCTCTAGAACACGTGATTCTCTACTTTAAAATGCAGTTGAAAAGTGTCTTGTAACATCTATAAGCAAAATACAAGAAATATGTATTGCAACAAAGAGGGGCGACGAGTCCATACGACATTTACCAACCGTTTGAACCACATTTCAAGTCAAATAAAGGAATAGTGCATATTTAAAAGACTTACCTTATATTGGCGAAATTACAAACCTGCATAAAATAGAGCCTTTTTTTTACCCTCAAGGATGGAGAAAAATTCAAATATGATGTCATAACATTAGAACAATATTTAGAGTAATAATCCAGAAAACTTGGCTGAATGCCTTATGACAAGCGGGAAAAAAGGCATAAAGCTAAAAACAACTCGTATGCTCTAGTTTTAAATGCCTCCTGTAATCAACACCCTTACGTGGGAAAACAGACTTCCAAAAAGCCGATCTCCATCTGCGAAGACTGTCAGGGCCAGCATTTAAGATCTCAATGTCCATACACTAAGGAAACATGCAATTTTTCTAAATAAAATTTGGCACATTGAAGAAACATGCTTTAATAAGATATCATGGTACAACTTAAATTATTACTATCCAAAAAATACAACACTGTTAATAAAAATGGTTGAAGCTTATCCTCATTTTATCAGAGATAGAGTTATTGACTGACATCTAATACCAAAACACGTTATCAACACATTCACTGATCCCCACCAAGTCGGTTTCATTAAAGACTTTTATATCGTGGTAAAGCTATTTATGATAAAAATTTTAGACATAAACCTCTCTCTGTAGGTGAATTAAATAAAAAGGATTTGATATTTTTATTAAAAATAATAGAAATTTAATTAAGAAAGAATGGTTATCATTCAAGATAGAAAAGAGAATGGCCTATTCTTTATAAATGATCATGACTACGATAATACAGGAAGGACCACAACATTTTGATACCATGAAACTTAAGTCCAACATATCCCCAAACGCTTTAAAGTGGGCGTATTAGCTATCCTTACTTAATAAGAAAATTTCCTGGTACATCATACTTAGAAACCGAGACTGTGACGTTTGCCAAAAATGTGAAATGAAGGAGAAATCTAACTAAAACAGCGAAAATAATAATCAAAGGACTTAAGGACAATGAACGTATACACAAGTATGTTATTGTCGCAACGGGCTTTATAATTAAATAAGTCACCATAATCAAAGCGAAGTCTGAAATGAAATAAAAAATCATATAAATACATAATTATTTAAATTAAATGGGACCACCACAGCTTCTGTAATCGAGAAATAAGAACCGACAGGAGCAGTGAACTATAAAAGAAAAACTGGTATAAGAACTACAGAATAAAGATAAAGTGTAAACTGTATATAAAGATACACCGCAATACTTGCTGAGTGAGAGAAGCTTTCAGATAATGTGTAACAAGGCTCATAGCGTATTAAAACAGTCTATATTATTAAAAGCTTTCTGGAGTGAAGCTTTATATGACGCGGTCTATATATTTTAAACAATTTTCCAAAAAAGAATGGTAATTCCAGCGGACTGAGTTACTATAGATCCTGGGTTGAATAATCCTTCATTACCATCCGGGATATTAAAAATTTCAAGATCGGGCTCTTGAAGGCATTCTTCTTTTCAAACCGACCTATTCTATTAGGGATGAGTATACTATACTTAATTTAACAGCGGTGAAAATCAATAGAATTAGAGACACAGTATGCTTTGAAGACATCATTCCCTTTGTTATTGCTAAGTACTCCATTAACCTCATAAAGTATTATGAAGAATTTTTTTTCGGACAACAGCTTTCCGGTGATATTTTGATACTATGATGCAACTTCAAGAAAAAAAACATTACAGCTAGGGAAGCTATAACGCCTCATGTACAAGCAACTTAGGATAAAAATCTTTTAGACTATATTAATGAGCAGACAATTCATAATTTCAATTTTAGCAGCAACAACTTAAGCAATAGTAATAATAACATCAATTATTTTAGTAAAAATTATAGTAATAATAGTGAGAATAATAATATAAATGATAGACAGTACTATACTCTCCCCTTGAAACATGGACAGTTGACTCCTCATCTTTGATGGACCACGGCGTCACATTGCCCCGAAGACAAATTAGCGCTAGAGCAATTACACCTGTACTCCAGGAAAGAGCTGTTGGCACACCACAACTGTCAGAGGGAGGGAAAGCTGAGTTACATTCCGAAGGCTGGCGATGAAGGCTGCGTTTACTTATGACAGTTTATTAAGAATTAAACCTTGCGCATTTACCACTACAATTCGAGGCGGTGACTTTGCGATGGAATACACCGTAGACTAAGCGACACTTTTGGCTAATCCCCTCGCTGCTCGGTTGGGTGCCACCTACTGCTTTAATTATAGATAATATGCTTTCTGAGTCAGTCTCCCTTGATGTTAAAGAGCCACTTGAGCAACCGCCACAGTGTAAAAAAAAAGGCTAATAAAGTTCTTAAGAGGGAAGTTAACCCACCCCGGCGGTAACCCTAACGTGATCCTGAAGCAAATGCCGATAGGGCGGCGGATCGTCTCTACTTCCTCGACCACTTGAGGGCGGCCTTCCGCTCTTTCTTATCGCGCCGAAAGACGACTACAATGGTGATGCTTTCGACGACAACCGTAACCGGCCCCTACACCACCGACGAGTATAAACCTATCAACCTCTTAGCAGCAATTGGAAAAGTAGCTGGACTCGCAATATTGCCTCTTGAAAGCATTTGCTGACGTTAGCTATACTCTGCCCGAGTTCCAATCTAGATTTCAGCGTCCGCCATTTCTATTACTTCGAAAACATTATGATCCATTAATGAGCTAATTTTTCAAATTTCACTACATCACCTTTACCTGACAGCTTGGTTGACTTGCGGGGGCTTCTATATTAAGAGGGCATCAGGCGAGGTCTTTTTTGATGTTCGAAAAAGCGTTTGATCGAGCTTGGCATATAGGATTGCTATACTATTATGCTTCATTTTAAAATAGATGAAAAGTAAGGAATGTTATTTATACTGAAAGCCTTAAAAAATTACTAACAGTGCTATTTTGCAAATTAATTTTACTCTTTTTATATAAACCAAAGCAAAGACCTTCTAAAAGTGCCTACGAGACTCATTTGTATGCTACTTACGTAGCTTAGAAGTCTCAATATCTATTTTTCACATACTCAACGCTGTCTTTTAGTCATTCTTGTGATTTGTAGAGGATACAATAAGCCCGGTCAATGTACAGTATTAAAAAAAAAATTTATTTAATAAAATAGGAATATTTTTAAATATAAAAAAATAATAACAACTTAATTCTTTTGACTTTTATTATGTTTGAGCGCTGACGCTATAATAGTAAATTAATCCGGTACAGAATTACATTATGTTGTTTAATAATTTCACTAGCACAGCGACGCTGCTAAGCGCTAGAAGGGGGCCCCCGTCTAACTACGCGATAGAAAAAAAAAGTTTTAGTAGGGTCGCTCCACTGGGTAATTTATATACATAAAATTAATAATTTAGCCCCCACTAAATTATATCACTTTAAATGCTCTTTTTCCAGTTTGTATGTAGTTGAGACCTGAGTGCAAGGGACACAACTATAAATATCTATAAGGGCTGGTGCACTAGTGTTTGGTGGATGGCAAATGTTGTACTACACAAGCGGTTTAAGAGTTATCAACGATGAAGATTAGGTCTGGGTTATTAAAAAAATATCACAATATTAATTTTAAAAGCTAATTTAATTAACAAAAAAAGATTCGGATTGATGGTGATATCAGTTGAGTAAGTCTTCAAATCTTTTTTTATTTAGTATTCCAGAAACTACTATAAAGGGTATACTTAAATTAATTTAATTAAAGAAAAGGTTTGTTTGGTGATAACATTGATTTTTATTGGCTCTTCAACCATTTTTTAGTAAAAATACCACGATATCTTTACAAAAAATCCAGTCTCTGCGAAGTGGGTGAGGGCGTTCACGCTAGGAATGCCTTGCCGGAGCTTTAGTTTGAATTTCGGCAAGGGCACTCGACCACCCAGAAGCTCCTCCGCTTATCTGAATGAACCACTCGCGCTTACAACTTTAAGAAGCCAACAGGCGCTATCTTCCTCGACGTTGAAAAGCATTTGATCAAGTTTGGCGTGAAGGTCTGCTGCACAAATTGCGCTCGTTATCCGTTCCTTATAGCCTTTACAACGTGCTGAAGACATATCTGAATGACCGCGTCTTCATCGTGTACGTGGAAGATACGCAGTCGACTCTGCGATCTCTGACAGCAGGGGGGTTCAGGGAGCCCTTCTTTCGCCCCTTTGATTTGCAATTTATCTGTGCGACCTGCTCTTGCCATGAAATCTACACACACAAATCTTCCTCTACGCCGATTATACGGCCATTTTGCACTTATCGCAGTCTCCCACCTTGCTATGCAAGCAGCTACAGCGCTATCTTGACGCCCTTACTGGCTGTGACGTAATGAGAAAGTTTCTATAAATGCGATGAAGAGCAAAGACGCTTTTAGTTGCTAAGAAACGCATCCCCTTGTTGACGTGAAGATTCCAAAGCGCAATACTTAGGGGTCATCATTGACAACAAACTTTCCTGGTAGCCTCCCGTGGACTATCTAGTGCCGAAAGTTAAGGCAGCAAAACTAAGAGGCTTTATCCTTTATTATGAGGCAAGAGTAAACATTTTCTGCGAGACAAACGGCAATAGTGTATGTCTTACATCCAGCCAATAATAACATACGGGTCTGCTGACCTGAACCTACAACTCCACTGCAATAGCGTCTGCATTTCAAGTGCGACAGAACAAATAGTTGCGCGTGATGACCTGGGCTCTGTGGTTTGTGCGAAATGAAGTCCTTAACCGGGGCCTTCAGCTGAACCCTTTAGACGTGGTCTGCCAACGTAATGGCAATGCCCTTTACGAGAGGCTAGTCAGGTACACTGAATCACCTGCTGACGAGTGAACTTATATACTAGCCTTGGGACGGGCACGTTATCGCCGCCCACGTGACGTGCGTTAGCGCTAGTTTTTGTGTGTTATTTTCAAGAAAACAATGACATCTTATCGATTGAAAGCTTTTTTGTAATAAGTCTGCGATCACTCCTGATAGAGAGCTCGTGTATTCGGAGTTTTTTTGACAACCGAGCACCAAAAACTGTCATTTTAAATAAATAAATAAATTCAACCCTCAACCTTTGTTTTGTTATTTCCTTTTTGCATATGCCTTTCTAGTTTACTTTTATTTTCTATATTTTCAATTTATTTTTATTTTCATCTTGTGATCATAAATTTATAAAATTTTAATTACGTTATAAAACGTTTTTGAGCTTTTAACTAAGTCTATATTTCATTGTAAAATATTATATGCATTATTTTACTTTATTGTTCAAAGCGTAATTAGCCCTTTCATATGCTGAGCGTTTTGAAATGCTCAACCGGCGAAAAAAATAGATATATAAAATGTTATTAATACAATTTTTTTTTAATAATTTAACATAAAAAGTATCAACCTTTTTTAAGTATAGTAGTTGTATTGTAAATTTATATTACATATTGATTTATTTTTTATAAAAATATAGTATTATAAGAAATTATGGTATATAAAAAAAAATTAATATTAAAATTATTGCATAAAAAGTAAGGCAACACTCTTCTAAGTCATAGGAGCACTATAGCAGCCTTTTCATTTCAACTTTAAAGGTCGTCTTGAGAGAGCAAGTGGACATCTTTTATTCAATTGCTATAATAGTTAGCATCGAAACTTAAAATCAATTTTTCCCTGCCCTTAGGGAGAGCATCCCCTTTTTTGAGCCGTGGGAAAGCTACCAAATTAACCCTTTAACGGGCAAAACTCTGGGGCTTAAAATAGACGTGTTTTAAGTTCAATGGTAACTAAGTTTATCACTTCTTAATGTTTTGTCGATTGCTGCCTAATCCGTTAGAACATGGTACTCAAAGTTACTAGAGATTGTTTCAGAGACCGTCCTGTCGTTTGGGGTAAATACCCCTTAACCTACTCTTGCAAATTGAACCCTAGGCGTAAGTGGTAAACATAGTAAACAGTAACCTATAAGGGTTAAATATTTAATGCACTTCAGTAATAGCCCCCAAGAGAATTTTTTTCTCAAAATTTCGATGGATATAGGACTAAGGGATTATGAATTGTATATAATTCCGATTTAAAGGGTCAAGTATTGTTTATAGAAGTTTCGAGTCCTAACAGCTTCACGCTTTAAACAAAAATGATATTAAATTTTTTTTTGGTTAACTATAATATGTAAGCAAATAAATTACACTTTGCTGAGTAGTTAAAACCAAGTTAGGGCATTTTGGTTGGCTTATTAGATTTTTTTTGTTGTTTACTTGAGGGTACTAGAAATTACCACTAATGTGGCAACCTTAAAATTTCTGTTGGCATTACACTCTTTTACTACCAGCTTCAAGGGCATAGACTCGATACCACTGCAAATACTAGAGACCGGGCAATATTCTTCATTTATCGCAATAGTGATATTTAAATAATAATATAAATATTCCACGTAGTAATATTTATTGCCGACTTTGCTAACGATTATTACAAACGTTATCCTAAATAATATTGCTCTAAACAAGGAGAAAAACCTGCTGGCCCCCCGTAGAAGGTTATTGTTAAAACAGTGTTCGTATAAAAGAATTATAATTAACAAATTACAGCTGTTGTTTCATGCTATTCTCTTTCCTTCCCGCTTTTTTTAACGTTGATAACGGTTACACTGATGGTCTCTGTAGAGGTTTTAAGTCTTCAATATTAACTAAAGTTGATTACGCCAACTTGCGGCAGTGTGAGACTCTTGAAGGTGCCAAAAAAGTTTCATTGGAACTATTTTTTAACTTCTTTAAGAAGCACTTGTTATCACTATAGATATCAAACTACACCTTAAAAATTCCGAATATGGGATTTTATTGTCCACAGAGCCTGAAGTTATCAACGTTGCAACCCTTTCTGATAAGCTTCAAGAACACTTAGTCAATCACTTTAAAACTTTGCGGACACACTCTGTGGAGCCCACCACTTCTTTTCTTAACTATATAACCTATAGCTATATGATAGATAACATCATTTTGCTTTTAAGTGGTATATTGCACGAAAGAGACATATCTGAACTTTTAAAGAAGTGCCATCCACTAGGATTTTTTGATTCCATCGGCTCTCTCACGATTGCCTCTTCTCCTGAAGAATTATACAACTTAGTGTTAATTGACACCCCGCTAGGTATCACTTTTCAAATTTCCCGATTATAAACAATTTAGCATATGGCCTTCAATAATTTCGTAGCTCCCTATTTTAAGAACTGTTTAACTATTGATGATCTTAATGGACTTAATATTGAAATTATAAGAAATCTGTTATATAAGTCTTATATTGAAGATTTTGTGGAGTTCTGCCTAAACTTGGGAGGAGAAACTGCAGAAGTTATGAAGGAAATACTAGCTGTACACATTTTGCTCAAATGCCTCTTTATCAAATAACAACACCCGTAAAAAATTCATTACAGTTTGAGGCTGACCGCCGAGCTTTTATAATTACAATTAACTCTTTTGGGACAGAATTAAAAAAAGAGGAGCGTATAAAGTTGTTTCCTCACTACGGGAGGTTTCAATTTTTTTTTAGTCAAAAAAGGAAATTAGCAAGCAAAACCTGTTAGGCTATACCCGGAAGGGCTAAGCTTATTAGCAAACTGCGATAGTTATGAACAAGTTCGAGAGGTCGCTGGTTTTTATTCTGTAAGTTTTACTATATTTTTATTAACTAAAATACTCGGTACGCTTTTAATTGCAGGAATATAACGTTCTTTTTGAGTGCGCTGACTTGGACACTGGAAGAACACTTGAAGATATGTTTTATGAATATGAAGTTGCTTTGAACAAGCGCTCTTTTTTAAGCCATTTTAACTTGGGAATTTATTACTCTTACGTAAGACTAAAGGAACAGGGTAACTATTTCTTGGTTTCATTAGTAACTTGAGGCGAAGAATGAAAGTAATTACACAATAGAGTGTCGCAATATAGTTTGGATTTCCGAATGCGTCTGTCAAAATCATAAAGCTAAAATTGATAACTTTATACCGATTTATTAAAGTCCCGTAAAATTTCAATAGGCTTCAAGGCTTTATAGAATTAAAGAGCGACTGGTCCGTTGAGGCGCAAGCAAGGCAGTAGTGCTCCATCAGTAGATTCCACTCCTCTATCTCGTCCAACGGCTCGATACTTGAAACCTTTTCAAGCTCTTGAGCCGGTATACGCTCGTATACGCTTCGCAAGTCTGCCGCTTCCGCATACGCAAAACCGCTTTTTTTTAAGCGATTCTCCTGGCTTTCCAAGCTTGGGAGGGATTCTAAGCTCAGCAGGGGATAGTTTTGACTACGAAAGTTTGAGGCCATCACCTGGCCAAAGGCATCATAAGGCCTTACTTGTTCATAGATTATGATGGTGACTGAAGCACCGTATTCTTTAAACAAAGAGACTAAGTCCGTT